CGTGGCGGACGCCGCCATCTTAGAGCCCCGCTGTGGGCGGCCGCAGGGCGGGATCGCGAGACGCGGGCTGAGCCGGGCCCGGCCGGACTCGGCTTTCAGGGCCGCGACCCCGAGCGCGCCCCTAGAATCACGGAATCAGCTTAAGAAAGTACCTCTGAGATCATCAAGTCCAACCCATGACTGATCACCACCGCCTCAACTAGATCATGCCACTGCGTGCTACATCTAGTCTTTCCTTAAACATCTCCGGTGACTCCACCACCTCCCCGGGCAGCCCATTCTAATGTCTAAGCGCCCTTTTTGCGAAGAAATTATTTCTTCCTCTGGCACAGTTTGACACTATGTCCTCTGGTCCTGTCGGTGGTTGCCTGGGAGAAGACTGACCTCCGCTGACTGGTACAGCCTCCTTGCTGGCAGTGTGGAGGGCAATAAGGTCTGCCCTGAGCCTCCTTTCCTCCAGGCTAAACAACCCCAGCTCCTTCAGCCACTTCTCATCAGATTTGTGCTCCAGAGCCTTCACCATCTCACTTCCCTTCTCTGGACACGCTCCAGCACCTCCATGTCCTTCCTGAACTGACGGTCCCAGAGCTGGACACAGTAGAAATGGTGCAACACTGCAATAGGAGCCCCAGCCTGGGTGTGAATCAAGACAGGCCTTTGTGCTGGGGAAGGAGCTGGATGGCGAGCGAGGGGTACCCACACCGGGAGCCAGGACTCGGGGAGGGCCAGCAAGGGACCCCAGTGGGCAATAGCTAAGGGGAATTGGGAGAGGCCTCTGAAACCTCTGGGCTGTCTCCTGGATCATATTCGCTCACAACTCAGAAAAAAATGTGGGTTTTTTTTTTTAAATTTTATTATTTTTTTTTAATTTAACTATATTTGTATAGTTTCTTTATTTTTAAGCACAGATCCTATGTCAATGTATGTATATCACAGAATCACAAAATTAAATCGGTTGGAAGAGATCTCTGAGATCACTGAGTCCAATCTTTGACCAAAGCCCACCATGCCCACTAGACCACGGCACTAATTGCCACACCCTGTCTTTCGTTAAAAACTTTTCAGGGACTGAGATTCCACCACCTCCCTGGGCAGTCCATTCCAATGTCTAATCACCCTTTGTGTAAAGAAATTCCTCCGAAATACTGTCACTTTTAAAGAAAACACTTGTGCATTTAATTTACAGCTAATTCACACCGCATGTATTACTCCCTTGCAACTTGCAAATCACCTTGGTGCCTGAGAGCCCCTCTCCCGTGCCGGCTCCTGGAGTGAGCCCACTGCTGCGACAGTGCTTTGGATTGAGTTTGGCTGTAAAGGAACACAAAATGTTTATGACATCCACATGTGCAAGCAACTGTTGCCATGCTGCTATTTTTATAACCATTTTACTGCATAGCACAAGCTGAAGAATAGAAAAAGCCATTTTCAGTGTGTGTGTGTGCACGCACTCATGTGCAAGTAGGACAATAGAAAATGTTTGATCAAGCTACAACAAAAATATATCTGAAAACTTGGAGCTTTATTTAGAATTTAATTTACGCCGAGTACTCAAGTTAGCAGAAATAGTCACTGTAAATTATGTGTAACTGATATACAAAGAACAAGAGTTGTGTGTGCAAATATATGAATAAGCTGTCCCTCATGGAATTAATTATGTGCATGCCTTTGCTTGTTCAGACCACTGAAGCTAGATGTAGTGTGTATGATGGAAGAATGGAACTACAGTACAAGTATTATATTGCAAATATCTAATTTTCAAGGAAAAAATTCTGTGGGTGGCTTCCATTTCAGCGAGGTAGCTTTAAACAAATAGAAACCTCAAATAAGAAAACTAGACATGTTAAAGGTATAAAACTGACAAGAGAAATGCCTTTAATCCCTTATTTTAGCTTCTGAAAATACCTCTAGGGTATTTAAAATCATGAAAAGAGGAACTGTAATGGGGAAGAAGAAACTGGTACAGAGTCCTGTATTTTTTTTCATTTGACATTCAAGTTCAGTGTTTTCAATGAACAAGATAGAGCTACCAGTTTAGAATTGTGAAAGGCAAGGTAGTTATTAAAGTCATGTTTAATAATAAAAGTAATTTATCAGCTAATCCAATTAACATGATAGGACAATAAAAATTAGTAATTGAGCATGGGGAAAGAGAGAAAGAGAGAAAGAAAGAGAGAAAGAAAGAGAGAAAGAAAGAAAGAGAGAAAGGAAGAGAGAAAGGAAGAGAGAAAGGAAGGAAGAGAGAAAGGAAGAGAGAAAGGAAGGAAGAGAGAAAGGAAGGAAGGAAGGAAGAGAGAAAGGAAGGAAGGAAGAGAGAAAGGAAGGAAGGAAGAGAGAAAGGAAGGAAGGAAGAGAGAAAGGAAGGAAGAGAGAAAGGAAGAGAGAAAGGAAGAGAGAAAGGAAGAGAGAAAGGAAGAGAGAAAGGAAGAGAGAAAGGAAGAGAGAAAGGAAGGAAGGAAGGAAGGAAGGAAGGAAGGAAGGAAGGAAGGAAGAGAGAAAGGAAGGAAGGAAGGAAGGAAGGAAGGAAGGAAGGAAGGAAGGAAGGAAGGAAGGAAGGAAGGAAGGAACGAAGGAAGGAAGGAAAACACAGNAAGGAAGGAAGGAAGGAAGGAAGGAAGGAAGGAAGGAAGGAAGGAAGGAAGGAAGGAAGGAAGGAAGGAAGGAAGAACCTCTGGAAGGTATTTTCTTGTATTCCCTCATAGAGATGTGATGTACGTGGGGTGAGGGATTTTTTGGATATGTTTTGGGGTTTTGAGGTGCTTGTCTGTATTAGCAACTGGTAGCTACAGACTTAATCTGGATGATTAAATAGACTGTCTCAGACTCAGTAAAGTTAATA